AAGAAGTTGGGCCACTACTTTCAGGCTCACCCGGTTCAGGTCCTCACCCATCAACCCCTCGGTGCCCTCATGAGGAGCCCCACCAGCTCCTCCCGCATGGTGAAATGGGCTATCTTCTTGAGCCAGTACAACATTGACATCCGTCCAAGGCCTGCCATCAAGGGCCAAGCCCTGACGGACTTTGTGACGGAATGTACCGCAAGGGCAGCCACGGACGGGGAGCCCTCGGCTACCTCGGACGACTGGTGGACCCTCTACACTGATGGCTCCTCCGCGACCAAAGCATGCGGGGGAGGGGTAGTCCTCATTACTCCCGAGGGCTTCAGGGCCTACTATGCAATCCGCTTCTCCTTCAAGGTCTCCAACAATGAGGCCGAATATGAGGCCCTCCTATGTGGCCTTCGGCTGGCTGCCAACATGAGGGCTCGGCAGATCCACATCAAATGCGACTCCAAGTTGGTCGTTGGCCAAATCTCCGAAGAATATGAGGCCAAGGAGGGGAGAATGAAACAGTACAAGGAAGCGGCCAAGGAGTTGCTTAAGGTATTTGAGGCACACTCTCTCACTCAAATACCGAGGGCTCAGAACTCCGAGGCCGACATATTATCTAAGCTCTCGGCCGACTCCCCCGAGCACATCTCCAAAATTGCCAAAATCGAGGAACTCAGCCTCTCAAGCATCCATGCAAGCCCCGTTATGAACATACAACAACGTCAAGAGGATTGGATCTCAGATATTACCGCCTTCATCTCCACAGGGCAGCTACCCGAGAATGAGGCCCGCGCTAAACTGGCAAAGCTGAGGGCTCCTAGCTACACCATCGAAGATGGGAGGCTCTACAAACGATCTTACAATGGCACGCTACTTCGGTGCCTTCATCCAGATGAAGCCGAGGTCGCAATGGAGGAGGTGCACAGTGGCACTTGCTCAGCTCACCAGGGACCCTTCTCCATGTCCCGAAGGCTCATTCTCCAGGGCTACTTCTGGCCAACCATGGCCAGGGATTGTGCTGACCTTGCCCGGAGGTGCACCGCATGTCAACATTTCCAGAAAGCTCCCGGCAGGCCAGCGGTCAACTATGCCCCCATCAGCACCTCTGTCCCCTTTTCTCGATGGGGGATAGACCTTGTGGGCCCTCTGCCGAGGGGTACCTCAAACAACAGATACATCATCGTGGCCGTCGACTACTTTACCAAGTGGGTGGAGGCTGAACCCCTCGCCAGCATCACAGAGGCGAAGTGCCGTCACTTCGTCCTCAAGAACATCCTCACAAGGTTTGGCGTCCCCCAGCAGATCATCTCCGACAATGGGACACAATTTGAGGCAGCCCCCTTCTGTTCCCTTCTGGAGGCATGGGGCATCAAACACACCTTCTCCTCCGTTGCCTACCCTCAAGGCAACGGGCAAGTAGAGAATGTCAACCGGACCTTGCTCGAGGGCCTCAAAAAGAAGCTAGAGGCCGAGGGCGGTGGCTGGGTGGAAGAACTCCACAACATCCTTTGGGCCTATCGCACCACCCCTCGGCGAGCAACAGGTGAAACACCCTTCTCCCTCTGCTACGGTTTTGAAGCCAAAGCTCCTACAGAAGTCACCCTTCCCACCCGAAGGGTAATCCAATATGACCCCGAGGTCAACGACAGCAACATGGCCCTCGACCTCCATCTCATTTCAGAACGCCGGGAGCAGGCCTTCATCCGGGCAGAAAACTACCGAAGGCAAGTCAAAAGCTACATCGACGCCAAAGTTCGCACCCGAGAATTTCAAGTGGGGGACTATGTCCTCCGGAGGAGGGAAGCCAGCCAACCAACCAAGGGAGGAAAAATGGCACCAAAATTCGAAGGCCCCTACATCACAGCAGCCATCATCAAACTCGGGACCTACAAGCTCAAACGCCCCAATGGGAAAGAAGTCCCTAGGCACTGGAATGTACACCATTTAGTTAAATTTTATCAATAATGTAAGAGTGGCCAAACCCTCATAACTAGTGAATGTACTATCCTATGGCCCAAGGCCTCCAATTTCGAAGAATGAAGATACATTCAAGACATCAAGCCCTCATACTGACTACAGGCCCCAGGCCTCACCACGAGAAGAACCCCCTCCGGCACCAAGTGCCGAGGGCGGACACCATCAACACCTACAACAAACAGTGAAAACACCACGTGTTTTCAGTCAAGACCCCTCGGCACCCAGTGCCGAGGGAGGGAACTCCTATCACCAACAACAAGGAACGCCATGTGTTTCATTTCCCTTCGGCACCCAGTGCCGAGGGTACATTCCCACCTTCATCATAAAAAAAAAAGAAAAAAGAAAAAATGAGAACACCAAGTGTTCCTACAGAAGACCCTTCGGCACCCAGTGCCGAGGGTACACCTCCATCATCAAACATCGAAACGAAGAAAAAACACCAAAATGTTTCAAAGAAGACCCCTCGGCACCCAGTGCCAGGGATATGCTCTCCTATCAACTTCCAAACATGTGTTGGGAAACACCAAGTGTTTCATTTGAAGACCCTTCGGTACCAAGTACCGAGGGTAGACGCCTACATCAACTACGACAAAAGAGAACACCAAGTGTTCCTACAGAAGACCCCTCGGTACCAAGTACCGGGGGCTACACATCGAAACTAACACCAAGTGTTGTTTCTAAAAGCCGTACCCCACGAGGACGCATATACCGAAGGCGCCACCATCGGTGCCGGCGGCACGTAGTGCCCCCGGCCATTTGTAACGAGTGTGCAAATGAAAACCCTTCCTTGAAACGCTTTCCGCGTCACTACCCCCAGGGTATGACAGGCACGAGAAATGCCCAGGATTCGACTTTCAAAAACGGAACGCTATCCGCGTCACTACCCCCAGGGTATGGCAGGCATGAGAAATGCCCAGGATTCGACTTCCAAACCGAAACGCTCCCCGCGCCACCACCCCAAGGGTGTGGCAGGCCACGGACTATGTCTAGCGCCGAGGGGACGACTTTCAAAAATGAGGCGCTTTCCGCGCCATCCCCCAAGGGGAGGCAGGTTACGGACCACCATATCTTGTGCCCGGGAAACGTCCCTCGATCCCCTCGGAACTCGGAAGGTTAACCCGAGGGAGGAGAGCCATTGGTGTATTCTGATGGTCTCCTAATAGGCCCAGCCTTACCAAGAAACCAAGTTTCTTGATGCCTTCCCTTCACCACCAACCAAAAGAAAAAGGAGGGGGTGAAGGGGAGTAGACTCAGCGAGAAATCAAAGAGTACACTCCAACAGATCACAACAAGCCGAGGGCTCCCCACGGGAACACCTCCGGTAACTGAAGGCTCCTATATCCCGAAGGATACTACTCGAACAAATAGCAGCAAGGAACGGCTAAGTCCACTGCCTGGTCACCTCCGGTCACACAAACACTGAAGGCTTCAACAAATACAAAGGGACTGGACTATCCAAAGTACACTAAGACGGTACCTTCAAATATGTACCGAAGGCCCCTACCCCATTACAAGGGACACAACTGGCTGAGTCAAACTCTACAACTCCTCAGAGTGTATGCCGAGGGCACACACTCCTCATTGGCTTTCTTCACAACAACAGGATTCAACATCAATTTACGCAAAGTAATGTAGAGTGAGAGGGCACCTATCACCCGAAGGCTACACAAGGAAGCAACACTTGAAAAAATTCTAAGTCCTAAAGATTGGGCCCCCGGCCCAATCAGCATTACAGCCAAGGGAATATGGTAGCCGAAGGTCATGCAATACAACAACACTTGGAAAAATATATTATGTCCTAAATGAGCAGCCCCCGGGCATCTGGCAAAGTGATGTGGAGTCAGAGGGCACCTATCACCCGAAGGCTCCCAAGGGAAAATCTACACTTAGAATATTTTCTAAGTCCTACATGTTTTTCCCCGGTCAACTACTCATACATCAAGGAGGGATGCCATCTCCCGAAGGCTCCCAAGGGAAAATCTACACTTAGAATATTTTCTAAGTCCTGCATATTTTCCCCCCCGGTCAGCTACTCATACATCATGGAGGGATGCCATCTCCCGAAGGCCCCCAAGGGAAACTCTACACTTAGAAAATCTTCCTAAGTCCTACATATTTCACCCTCGACTTATAAAGGGACCTAATAGCCGAAGGCTACCTATCAATCGAGGGCTACAGTGCACAAGGAATCGACACCCAAGAAAATTTTCTAAGTCCTAAAGAATTGGCCCCCGGCCTATTCAATATTTCAATTGGGGCTCCACAGTAGCCGAAGGCTACATGACATACTACACTTGCAAAAAATCTCTAAGTCCTGTGCATTGGGCCCTCGGTCCAACATTCACACATCAGGAAGGGATGCCATATCCCGAAGGCTCTCAAGGGGAAATCTACACTTAGAAATTTTTCGAAGTCCTAGGATTTGGGTTACTGCAAACACCCGAAGGCCCTATGGTGTGCTACACTTAGAAAAATTTTTTAAGTCCTAATTGCTGCTGAACCCTCGGTTGCATATCCAGCAGAGGGTGCCCAACTACCGAAGGCTTCCAAGGGCAAGCTACAATCGAAAAATATTCTAAGTCCTAGACATACATTCAAAAATACCGAAGGCATACACTCAAGGAAAACGGAGGCATACATTCAAGAAGAAAGGAATTGGAGAAAACAATTCATATATACAAAGCCCGAAGGCAATCATTCAATTACAACAAAAAGGAGTCAATGTAATACGAATAAATGTTACAAGCAGGCCGAAGCCGAAGGATAATGTCACCATTACAAATACATGTTTACATAATACAAAATACATATCAAATCATGTCATTCCCGGGGGCCGCCTCCCCCGATGGCTTCGAGGTGACTTCTGCGTCGGCCTCAGGTTCGTCGCCCTCGGCTTCCTTCATGAGCTCAGAGTCCTCCAGGTCTGGCCTCTCGACATCGGGGGGAAGAGGAACGCGGATGTCTGGCTGCAGGGGGGGAGCCCGTATGCTGCCGGGTCAAAGTCTTTTGGCTCGATCTTCAAGTGGCGATCCATCCTCCGGTAGATGAGGGCTTGAGTGAAAAACTCGCCCCCATCATAGTATTGTTTACCCTTTCGGGAAACCCACTCCACGCCAGGCCCATCACACCACTCGTCGACCGAGGACTCGACGACCGAGGACAGCCATTGCTTGTGCTCCTCGGACCGCCACCCCCCTGCCAAGAACCCCGAGATTGCGTCCCCTCGGGCTCTCTCGACGGCTTCCACCTTCGCGGCCTCGGCTTCCTTCACAGCTCTCTCCAAGGCCTCAGCTGCGGACCTCTCGGCTTCTGCCCTACCCCGATCTACGGCCTCCGCCCGCAGGGTCATCTGCCGAAGGCTCTCCTCCAGCATAGCCATCTGTCGAACAGCGTCTGCATTCTGGCGGATGAGCTCCCGCATCTTGGCCTCCTGCTCGGCCTTGCGAAGGCGCCACTCATCTAGCCGCCGGGCTTGCTCCCCGAGGGCAATGCAGGTCTACAAAAACAAAGGGGTAAGCGAGGCCAAACATGGTTTCTTAGCTCGAAGTAGAAAAGAAAGAAATAAACATAAAAGACTTACTGTGAGGGAAGACCGGAGGATCCTGTCCTCGAGGGCTTCGTCTTCATCAGCCCCGAGGGCTACTCTGTCAATCTCGAGGGTGATGCCTCTCAGAAACGCCCTCGGGTCGGCCGTACCGTTCATCACGGCCGTACCAGCCGGGAGGGAAACCATGAGGACCTCGGAAGATGGCCCATGAACTCCCGGCGGCACCTTCGCCACCTGCATGTCCTCATTCGCCCCAGAGGCAGGGCCTTCATCAACAATGATCACCGGGGGGACTTTCTTCCCGGCATCCCCGGTCTTGGGCTTCTTGCCCTCGGGATCTCTGCCCGAGCCCTTCCTTTTGGCGGCAGCGGCAGCATCAGCATTTGGGCCAACCGACGGCCCCTCCGGTTTTTTGAAGAAGTCACCGGCGGGTTTTGGGACACCGGCGTCCGTCCCCCTCGGGCCCTTGGAGGGTTTTTTCTTCTTCAGATCTGCAAGGCCTCTGACGTTCATCATTTTCACTGGGACACCTGCAAAAAAAGGTATGGGGTCAAAATCGAGGGGTTACTGACCGAAGGCACAAAGAATAAAAAAAAACGAACAAGATAAGCTATGTGCTAAGGTATGAAAACCGAGGGACCTCGTAGACTACCTCCTGTTCCCCCGAAGGCCTCAGCAAGAATGGGGTACTTCTCGTCCGCTTCCCCAATAAATCGGTATCTCTGAAAGCCGAGGGCGTAGAATCCCTTGTCGGCAGTATAGTCTTTGATGGAGACCTGCTTTGTGCGACCCTCCGGGATTTTGGCTATCACCAGGCCGTCTTTTTCGAGGGCGGCGCTTCCAACCTTCGGATGTCGACGAAAGCGATCCCGAAGTTCCGCCGGAAATGGGTTCTCAGCAACCCTGACATAGCACCAGCGCTCTTTCCAGCCCTTATTGGACGAAGGCGCCTCCGTGAACAGCTTCCACCTGGCCACCTGCTGCAGGTTGGCGAAGCCCTCGGCATTCACGTGACCCCCTCGACAGAGGTTGAAGCTCTGGAAGAACAAGTCCAGGCTGGGGGTCACCTCTCGGTCCCTACAGAGATTTAAAAAACCCGCCACGTAGGAGTGGCTATTAGGTGTCAGCTGGCAGGGTACCAAGCCAACAAACCTCAGGTACTCCCGGAGGAAGGGGTGCAGAGGGAACCGAAGGCCCATGGAGACCGACAGTACGTGTACTGCAATGCACCCCTCAGGCGCCCGAGAGAGCACGTCGTCAACTCCCGGCTCGACCACCTCGGCCGAGGGCCCTACATGTAGCTGCGTCACGTAGAGGTCCGCCCTGTCCGCCTTCGACTTTATCTCCAAGGCAGCCGTGTTGAGCCAGGAATACCCCTCCGGCATATCTACGGGTTTCCCCTGATTAGCAGCAATAACCTTCTTCTTGGGGACAGCTGCCTTGGCCTTCTTCTTCCCGGGGGCCACCCGGATGGGAACTGCATTCAGCGGCTGGGAAGTACTGGCCTCACCAGCACCCCGAGGGGGAAGGACGGCCACAGTGACCTTCGCCCTCTCCTTTTCCTCCTCCTCTTCAGCAACTTGGACGGCGAGGGCCAACTCTTCATCCTCGGCAGTTCGCTCGAATTCCTCCGCCTCGGCCTCGGCCATCAGATCCTTCTGCACCTCAGTGGCGAGGGCTGCATCACCACCATCTGAGGGCTGACCACTGCTGGACTCCACGTCAGAGATGCCTTCGTCCTCCATCGAGGGCGTCCTCGAGATGTCCTGGGAATCGCTCTCGGACGACATTTTTATCACGAGGTGTGTCTAAGGTTTTGAAGGCTTTCTACAGGACTAACCCTAATCTAAGGCCAGAGGGCGGAACTTACTAAAAGTTTGGAGAGGAAAACGGGCACTGACCTTGAAAGCAGAGTTTTGACCGAAGGCTGGAGTTTCTCTCTCTAGAATTTTCGGCAGAGCTTCGCTAAAACAAATGATCGCACAAGAGGGAATGGCCCTGGCCCTGGGGTATTTATAGGCGCTGGAATCCGGGCTTGGGCCCGGAAACCGGGCCTCCGGACGGACCGTCATCATTACACACCGTCGTTTCACCCAATCGGTGACGCCGCCCACGAACAGCCAGCCATCACACGCCACGTGTGCCACCCCCCAACGGCTATATCCTGTCGTTACATATTCCAACGGCTATATTTCCAACGGCTATATTCCGGAAGCCCCCGGGTTTTCTACTTCACTCCACTTCATCAAGGGTAGCCCCCGGGTACACTCACTCAGAAGTGTCCCCAAGTCGTGCCCCAAGCAGCACATAACAGACGCCTTCGGGATCACTCCTTCAGAAACCCAGGGCTTCATATCAGGGCACCCCTCGGGGATCCCCTCTCAGCACTGCAAAACCGGGTAGCCCCCGGGGAGTGCCTCATTGACGGATGGCCCATGGCACACAGGTAATGGGAGCCCTCGGGTATCTTCATCACCAACTAATCAACAAACAGCGGACCCCCCGGAAACAACTCCATTGTCGCCCTCATCCAGCAGGCCCTCGACCCCCGAATTGAGGGCCTCCCCTTCGGCGCCACCAGGACGTCGACAGCAAGCCTTCGGCTAATCAATACAGGAGCCCTCAGAAGAGAGAGCCTTCGGCATTCCCATCATTCTCCACTTTATACCAAGGTTTGACATTTTCGATTCATCATTGGGGGAATTCGGTGCACTCTTTTTCCCTCATTAGGATTTTTTCCCAAAGGGTTTTTCCTAATGAGGTTTTTAACGAGGCATCCCCCCAAAATGAAACGAAAAAACAACAGCCTTCGGCTAACAACAGCAATGCAACTACTCTACTCCTTTTCACCACTTTACAAGTGCCTCAAGGAGTGGGGGACTGGAGGACCCCCTCGGGAAAATCATTAAATTACAAAAGATGTAGAAATTCCAACAAACAACAGAGCAAGCCCTCAAGTCCCGACATGTGGGTAACTGAGGGACTGCCTTCGGCAGGGACATAAAAGCAACAACTCCTCACCAACTTCAGAGATCACGACAGGACAAAATCAAGGGGCAAGCACAAATTACTCCTTTTCCCTCAAGTACCTTTCGGCAAAAGGAGTGAGGGACTCCTGATGGAGTATATGGCCCGGTAACCCCCGGCCCACAGACTCCTACTACTCCAGCGAAGGCCCAAAAGGCCCAAAAGGCCCAACAGGCCCAAATCACAGTGCCCAGAGTACCAAGCAGTCCGCACTACGCGCCAGGGGTGCCTTCGGCCCCCTGGCCGAAGGCTCCAAATTCTCACAGAACGGGTTTCTCAAGCAAATTAAGGAACTGGGAGAAAACGGCGAAAACAGTAGCCCTCAGCATTGTGAGCCCTCGGCACCAGGGTGCCATCGGGTGGAAGAGCCCTCGGCTACTGCTCTATAGCCGAAGGCATCTCACTCGACAAGATATCCGCCTCACATGCGTACAGATCACCGTACCCCGCATAGACGTCCCATCCAACAGCCGCATTGAATGCGGCCACATGTGGCTGCCAGCGCCAACCAGTTGAGGTGACCCCTCGGCCAATGAGCGCTTGACACGTGTCCCTGCCCGGCATTTATTGACACTCTCTCTCTACTTTTACTTACTTGCTCTGACTTCTCTCTTGTTACTCCCCGCAATAACCCTGTCCGGATATATACCCCCGTGTAGACTATCCATCAGAAGTCTATAGAGCAGAAACACAAGCGCATCTGGGAGGCTAAGGAAACAAAGAATCACGTGGGGGATAATAGGGCTCTAGATGGAGCAAAAAACGGGGAGGGGGCGGGCTTCGAGGTGTAAGTCCACCAAAGTTGCTCATACAATGGCCAACGCTAGGAACATGGAAGATGGTGGTTGTAATACCCGAGATTAATTTAAGAGGATTAATAGTACTACTCATACCAACAGAGGTGCATCTCCTTTTAAGGGAGCTCATCACCCAAGAACTCCAAAGTTAAGCGTGCTTGAACGGGGGTAGTCTTGGGATGGGTGCCCCCTGGGAAATTTCTCAGGGCGCGTACGAGTGAGGACAAAGTGCGTGGTAAAGGCTCGTGGTGGTTTGTGAGGATAGTGCTAGAGGTCAGAAGTAACTACCTCTGGTCCTGCACGGCCGGGGTGTTACAGGTGGTATCAGAGCAACCCTGCGACAGTGTGCTGATCCGTTGGATGTCGGGCGAGCACTTAGCGGAGCAAGATTCTGGGGTTTGATTGAGATTGGTTTAAGGGCACAACGAGGACGTTGCGATCCTAAGTGGGGGTGATTGTAATACCCGAGATTAATTTAAGAGGATTAATAGTACCACTCATACCAACAGAGGTGCATCTTCTTTTAAGGGAGATCATCACCCAAGAACTCCAAAGTTAAGCGTGCTTGAACGGGAGTAGTCTTGGGATGGGTGACCCCCTGAGAAGTTTCTCAGGGCGCGCACGAGTGAGGACAAAGTGCGCGGTAAAGGCTCGTGATGGTTCACTGAGGACAATACTAGAGGTCTGGAGGGTGTGTAGGAGTAACTACCTCGTGCCTTACGGGGCGGGGTGTTACAGTGGTGATCGGGAAGCTGGGACAAGACTTTTATTTTTTCGCATTTATTTGTTTTGATTCCCTGGATTTTGTAGTTTACTTTCAGTTTTTTGTTTTTTCTACTGTAAGACTGTGGATTTGGATGTGGGTGATGGAAGGACTACGTTGACCGTCTTTGGCTTATTTACGCCCATTAATGGATCAATGAGTTATATTGCTCCTTTTGAGGTGATAAACTCTGAGTCTGGTGCGAGGGTCGGCGGTTGTGAGGAGTCTTTTTGTCGTTTTAACTACTATCTGAATGATGTGTTATCAATTTAAGCATATTTCTTCTGCACAAAAAATTGTTTTAGCATTATTAGACTTTAAACATGATAGTATATTGCAATAAGTGACAATATTTTCAAAGCTTGATTATAATTACTCATATTTAGAAAATAAAATATAACATTTCTATATTGACATTTTTACTCATACTTTGGGCAATTTCATTAATATATTTCACTCCTCACTGGTAAAAAAAGGTTGTGCCGGCGGGGCCCAATGATTTGAGCCGAAGTGTATATAACATTTGTTTGTAATTATTAAAAGAATTGATCCTATGTGATGCACTTGAATATACTTCAAGTGTATACATTGATTTAGTATGAAGCTAAGATCAAGTTATGATCAGTCCTTGAGGATGATCCAAACTAGTTTATTGATATGACAATTCTAGGCATAGATTTTGCTTAGGAATTAGGCTATGATGCATGGTGATGTAATAGAGCCCACCT